GTCCCCCCTGCGCGGCTCCGCGTCTCCACGGCCGCGGCTCCGACACCTGAGGGGACCTGAGCGGGCGCGGGAGCCCCTGGGTGGCGGCGGAGTGGGGCGGGAGGCCTACGCATGGCCCCGCCGTGACAGGCTGGACCCGGCACCGGGACCCGGAGCGGTGAGTGGGAGCGCGGGCGCCTGGTCTCGGGCCCGCGTGCCTGGACCCCGCCCCTCCCCAGGCTGGGCCGGGGGCCCGGAGGGGGTGCGCGAGGGGAGCATGCTGGGCGGCGGTACCGCCCTCCGTGCCCGTGCCAGCCTGGTCTGCTAACAAAGCTACATTTCCAGATTAATTCCGTGGTGGCTGGAGCATCCGAAGGATACGGTTGTCATGGAGATGGGGCTGGGAGAGGAAGCCCGGGGCTGGCCGGGCCTGGGCCGGGGAGTGGGAGCACCTCGGAGAGCCCCAGGTCAGCCTGGGAGGGGGCTCGAGGCCAGCCAGCCGATTGTCTCCTGGGCGCTGCCTCCGGATCCTCCCTTTTGTATATTTGAGGGTATATGTGTGGATCGATGGGGTGTGAGTGGCAGCTTGGTGACCAGAGCCCAGGGTGTGGGGTGCCTGAGGCTGCCGGCAGCCACCTCCACCACAGAGCAGCTTGAGGATTTATTTCTGTTTCCAGTTTCCCAACTTTGACAGCCTGGCTCCGCATCCAGGCCACCCTGGCTCTGGGCTCCACGCTAGAGCAGGGGTTTGCTGGGGGCGTGGCAGGCAGGACAAGGCCGAGTAGGTGGAGGAGGAGGAGGCTCAGAGAGGAGGCTGGTAATGGCCGTGGCAGCTAGGGAGGGAGGGGTCCTCGGAGCCGGCTGCTGGGACTGGGGTGGGGCAGAGTCCACGTCTGGGGACTGCCCTCCCCAGCTGGCCCCTCCGCGGAGGAGGGATTCTGACTCTTGTCCCTGGAGAATCTGGGGGCTCCCTGAGTCAGAACTGGAGGATATTGTCTCAGCAGAGGCCCAGGGGGCTACTGCCTCAGCTACCCCTTTGTCTTGGGGCTTTCTCAGGGGTCCTTGGGAGCGAACTGGGGACAGAAGCACTGGCCACAATGGAAGAGGATCTGAGATCCTGGCAGGCTCAGGATAAGCCCTGCTCAGCTTGATGACAGGTGAATGGGAGCAGAGGGAGGGCTGGGGGTTTGGCCAGGGCTGTGGGCAGCTAGGCTCTAGGGAGGGACATGTGGACTTTGCTGTGTCCCCACCTCCTTCCAGGCCTTGGAAAGAAGAGCTGCTTCATTTGGGGGTACTTAAGTAGCTTGAGGGAGGGGGTGAGGACTTCAGAACCACCTCCAACCTAACCCCTGGCCCCGGGAAGTCATTCTTCTGTTCCCTCCCCTGGTAGGCTAGGAACCCCGCTTTCCAGGGCACCTACAAGTTCTGTGACCTGGGAGTTTCTGAATCAGTAGAAGGAGCCGGCTGCCCTCCTCCCCCCACCTCACATTGCCCTGGGTGAGATCTGCCCTCCCAAGTGCCGCTTGTCCCCAGGATATGGCGGGAGGCTTTTGAGTGGCTCCTATGAGGTTCTGTCCTGGTGGAAATATGGTGGGGTCCCAGATTGTGGCCTCAATCTCAGGATTCCCACCCAGCGAGGAGGAGTGGGGGGTGGTGGCCCAGATAACATAGAAGGTCGAGCGCATTGTCCTTGGAAGGTCTCCCCCTCTGTTGGCTCTTGCAGGGTGTCTTAGTGCTTGGGTGATGTGAACATTGGTGCCCAGTGTAGGGTGCCCAGGAATGTCCGGTGTGGGGTGCCCGGAAGTGCCAGGTGTGAGGTGCTCAGGAGTGCCCAGTGTGGGGTGCCCAGGAGTGCCTGATGTGGGGTGCTCAGGAGTGCCCAGTGTGGGGTGCCCAGGAGTACCTGGTGTGGGGTGCTCAGGAGTGCCCAGGTGGGGTGCCCAGGAGTGCCCAGTGTGGAGTGCCCATGAGTGCCTGATGTGGGGTGCTCAGGAGTGCCCGGTGTGGGGTGCAGACTGCATGCTTTTCCTTCTGCTGGTCTGACAGCTGTGGGGTGTGAACTCCCCAAACTGACCCAACCTCCATGGGCTGTCGTGAAAGGAGGGAGCCAAGCTAGCTGGAACGGACTTTCCTGTCCTTGATAGCACGGGGCGAGGGGGTGAGGAGGGACTTCTCCTCACCCCGCTTCCACACTGAGCACGGCCACTGTGCTGAGTTCTCTCATGCACACATGTTACCTTGAGAGGGGGTGGAACTGTTGTTTCCATTTTTTGGGGGGAGAATACTGAGGCTCTGAGAGAAGTGGCTGATTCAAAATCACCTCGTCACTAGGAGGCGGGATGAGGGCGGGACTCCCTCATGAGCAAATCTGTCTCCCCGTCTCATCATCTTCCTCATCTTCCCGCGAAGGCAAGTTAGGGGACAGGTGTGACCATCAATGCCTTTCCATCTGATGCAAAGGGGGTGACCTTGGGGGGAAACTGAGGCATTCCACTGAGGTAGTGTAGAGAGGTAGATCGTGGTATTCCCTTCCGGATGTCGGCTTGCAGAGTGACACTGCCTCTCACGACAGACGATGCTCTAGACATCATTTGCCAGATGGTCTTTTCCAGGAAAATCTGTTTTGAACAGTATCTTATGTCTGAGGCTCCATATTTAGCTTGGCTCCTCACAAGGGAGGATATACTCAGGCTGTCGCCCCTCGAGGGATGTTTGGGGGGGAGAGTGGGTCCTGGCCAGACCTGGCTCCTTGCCACAGCTCAGACAGAGGAAGGGTGGGGCCCATGTTCCTGTCAGGCCTGTCCTGCTGCTCCCCCTCCTTGCTGGCTATGGGCTGCCCCGCTCACAGGTAAGTTGGCTTCTGTGGGCCTGGCGCCCTGTGGGGGTTGAGCCCTCAGGGCCTGGGCCTGTGCCCGGTGCCTGCGGCCTCCAGCCTGGGGAGGCCCACAGCCACACTTGTTTTCTCCTCTGACCCCTGTGCCTGCAGCTCTGCCCTGAGCCCTACTCTTTGTCTTGTCAAGTCTGATGTACAGATTTGACGTCCCACCACGTTTGTTTCTCTGTCTCTGAACCTTTTGAAAGTAAGTTGTAGGTGTCACAGCCTCTAAATACTTCAGCCTGGCTTTCTGGAGACAAGGACATTTTTCTCCATAATGACTCTCCGATTAGCATACCCGAGGAATACAGCAGGGATGTAGTTTAGCCTAGTATGTAATCCACATCATATTTCTCTGGTTGTCCCAGTAATGTCCTTTAGAGCTGTTTAGAATTTTTTTGGATCGAGGATCACACACAGCATTTGATTAGGTCCCACTTGTCTCCTTTAATCTGGAACAATCCTTCCGCCTTTTTTTTTTTTTTTTGTCTAATCTTTTATGACATTGTCAGTTTTAAAGAGCCAGTCATTTGTAGAATGTCCCACATTCTGGATTTGTCTTATTGCTTCTCCTGAGGAGATTCAGGTTAAACATTTTTGGCAAGAATATCCCCTAGGTGATGTCCTCAGCACCCCCCCTCCCCAGCAGACACAGGTTGTCAGCTTGTCCTATAATAGGTGGTGTGAAGTCAGGTCACTTGGGTAAGGAGTCCCTTTGTTTCAGTCCCGTTCCCCCCTCTTCCCACCTCCAGAAGTTTCACCCACTTGGTTACCCACGCACAAGGGCTGGAAAGCCACCCGAGCCCCTTCTTAGGCTCACGTGCTGGCGGGCCTTGAGGGAGCTCACACCTCAGGGCAGGTGGGTGCCGTGGGGGGAGAGAGGGAAGAGGCCGGGGCAAATGGTGGGGGGCCTAAGAGGGCAGAGGGGGAGGAGAGGGGGTGGGCTCAAATCAGAATGTGGGCCAGCTCATGGCCAAGGGGCGTAGCAGAACAGCTGTGAGTGTTGGAAGCCCTGTGAGGGGCGGGGTGGGGCTGGGGGGGGCCCTGGCGTGGTAGAGCACCAGGTGCTGTGCTGCCAGGGTCAGGGCTGCTGAGTGTGGGCACAGAGGGGACAGGGCTGTGGGGTGAGGGGGACGCAGAGGACAGACCAAGGAGAGAGAGGGGAGGCAGGACCGTGGTGCTGGCCCGGTGGTAGATGTGGCTTTGAGTGCGGGAGATCTAAGGGGCCTTCAGGTCAGAGGGGCAGCTCGGGAGCTCATTTCTCGGGGTGTCGGTGCCTCCTGTGGCCACGGCCCGCGGAGCCTCCTTTGGGATGAGGGCAGAGGTGTGGCCAGCCAGGCCGCAGCAGGGGAGGGACAGTGGGCTCTTGAGGCACTGGCACTAGGGAGGCCTGGAGCAGAGGCAGCCGCCCTGGCAGCCGCCCCCCACTCTCTGGCATCATTTTGCTTCTTCACACTTGCTTGGCAAACCCCCAACTCTGGTTAAATCTAACACCCTGCTCCCTCCACATCTCCACCTGTGTAACCTAACGGGACTGAGAAAAACCACCCCCGGCAGCTCTCACCTTAAGTTCAAAACTGTCGACTTCAGGCAGGTCCTTCGTGCTGTCTCCTGGCGCCCCACAGTCCCGAGTCACCCCTCTGGCCCTGCTGGGTGTGACTGTTTCACGCTTTTCTCCTCTCGCGACCCTCGCTCCTCCTCCATCCTTTGCCACTGCTGATGACCTTTCTTCCTGCTTCTTTGAGAAAGTAGAAGCAGTGGGAGCTTCAGCAGACTCCCAGCCACCGGCCTGCACGGCTCGGCCTTGCTCCTGCCACTATGTGTGGGGCCCCCCGTGCGGTGCTCTGGCCTGGCCCCTCATGCCAGCTGCAGCAGGTGCCACTCCCACCCTGCAGCTCCCCCTCTTTTTTTTTTTTAAGATTTATTTATTTATGCTACAAGAGCTGGGGTGCAGGCCAGAGGTGCAGGGGGTTGAGAGGATTCACCAGAGACAGAGGGGAGCAGAACAGATCTACTGAAATACACTGCTGAGGGGAGCAGTGGGTGCCATGTGGTTTAGCCCCCTGGCTGGGGATGGAACTCCTTCTGAATGGCTGCAGACAGCTTCTTAGTGCTGCGCCTTAACCCCTTGGGCCACCAGGGGCGCCCTCCCCCTCTTTTCCACAGTCTCCTCTTGCTGTTGGTTATCTGGGTTTAAAAGGGGTCCCCTGCCTTCCCTGGGCATCGCCTTTCTCTACCCTCCTTCCTTAGAGCAAAACTCCCCAGAAAGGCTGTCTGGACTCACTGTCTCCATGTCCTGTCCTCCCACTCTCCACCCACTCCAGGTGGGCCTCACCCCCTTCCACTCCTCTAACCTTCCTCTCCTCTCTCCAGTCACGTCCATGTTGCAACACCCAGTGGCGATTTTCATCTTCCTCTGAAGCATTTGACCCATTCAGTCTCTCCCTCTTCCTTGAAATACTTTCCTTGTTTCCAGGACATCCATTCTCCTGTTTTCCTTCAACCACTTGATATCAAAGTGCTTCCGACTCAGCCCTCACACGCTGCCCTGCCTGGTCTGTTGCTCCTGTGCCAATCCCTGCCAGCCCCGAGGCTTTAAGAACCACCTCTGTTCTGTCAGCTCCCATATTGGGACACAGTCCTTGACCTCTGTCTTCACCCCAATAGCCTTTCAGCACCCCCACTTTCATGCCTATAGGACACCTCAAATTCGACTTGTCGGAAGCCGAGCTCCTGAGTGTCCTCCCTAAATCTGCTGTGCCCTATCTCACTCATCCCATAAGGGTGACTCCATCCTTCTGGGTGGGGAGGACTCAGCAGGGGAGGGTTTAGGAGGCACTACATAGGAGTTTGGGAAGAGGGTGGGAAGGAAGGTCACAGGGAGGAGGCAGAGAGGGAGAAGGGTTTTTTTTTTAAATTTTTAATAAGATTTATTTATTTGTGCATACAGAACTGGGGTACAGGCCAGAGGTGCAGGGGCAGTGAGAGGATTCACCAGAGACAGAGTGGGGAGCAGAACAGGCAGATGTACTGGAATACACTGCTGAGGGGAGCAGCAGGTGAGACAGGAGAGGTCTGCCACGCCATGTGGTCACCTCCAGGGCAGGCGGGGATCGAACTCATGTTGAAGTGGCTCTAGCTTCTTAGCGCTGCGCTTTACCCCTCTGCGCCACCAGGGAGGGCCAGGAGAAGGTCTTCTTCATGGTCAGTGGACAGAGAGTGTGAGGATCTAGAGACTATGGGCTTGGGGAGAGTTGGGCAGAGAAAGGAGGATGAATTTCTTGGCTGACCATGCTTGATTGTTGAAACAGACTGGGAGAAGGTGCCGGGGGTTGAGTCAAGGTCGGGCTGCTTGGGAGGACTAGTCTGTGGGAGCACTTGGAGTTCAATCTCAGTCCACAGGTGCCACCTGTGACATGCAAATATGACTCAGAAACAGGGTGCGTGGAGGCACCCCGCAGCTCCAGGAAGCAGAGCGGCAGGTGTCCTGGACATGAGCTCCCGTCACAGGACGGCCTCGCGCTCGGTGCCCCAAGCCACTGAGGGATCACCCTGCAGGAGGTGGGCAGGAGGTAGAACGCCGGCTGGAAGCACAATTTGGGACTTGGCAGCACAAGACACAGTGCCTTTCATCAGATGTATGTAAATGCCAAGCAAATGATGCCAAGTGGCTGGGGGGTTTGGAGAGAAGCAAGCCAGAAGGTGTCAAGGAGTGACCTCTGTAGGGTTGGGCCCAGGGGCCCCTGAATGTCCCAGCAGGCTCGGGGCACATGCAGATACCATGCAAATGAACACCCCCATCCTCGAATCTTGCCTGCCTGCTGCCTAACTGGCCGTGAGGAAAAGGAAGATTCCAGATCCTGAGGAAGTGCTGCTTCCCCAGAGGCCAAGCAAAGGACAGAAGCAGAGCAGCGCCGGTTCCTTACTAACCCCAAAAGGACACCACCTCTGAGGATACCTGGGGCCCTGGTCCCTGCCTGGCGCCTGTGGGTCTGGGCCCCGCTAGGGAGAGAGGGCGCGAGCCCGGCTGAGTGGCAGTGGTGGTGTGGCCGGGGCTGCAGCTTCCCGCCCGTCTAGGGCGGGCACCATCTCGGAGCACCTTCCTGGTGGTCTTTCTCCTGCTTCCCCTCCAGCCTGGACATCTGATCGACTGCCAAGGACATACGGCGCCTGGGCCTGCTGAGTGTCCTACGAGGCTGCTCTTCTGTGTGGTCCACCCTGGTGGGTGGCCAGCCCGGCCTCTTTCACTGACACGCTTGTCCTGTCGTCCTCCGCAGCGCTGGCAGGCAGATGGCGTTAGCATCCTGGATTCACCGAAGAAACTGAGGCTTAGAGAGGTGGGCGTGCTTGCTGCCTGGGGCAGCGGGGTGGGACCGAAGCTTCGTCTTCCTGACTGCACAGTGACAGCGCAGACCCGCCTCGCCGTGCTGGGCTATGCCCATCTGAGGCCCTTGTTGCTGTACAGGGCCGTCCAAGCTGGGAAGACCAAGTGGGTTCGGGGGCTTAGGGTTGCTGTGGGGAGTGAAGGCAGGGATGTGCCCAAGGCTCCATGCGGTCTTCCCTTGCACGTGAGCCTGGGTCCTCCCTGACCCAGGCAGCTGGGGCACGGGGGAGGTGCCTGCCTCCAGGCCCAAGGGAGGCCAGAGCTCTGGGGCTCAGAAGGGTCCCTGCCTCCAGACTCCTTGGGGGCAGAAGCTGGGGGGAGCTTGGTGAGGAGTGACCCAGGGGCCCCACTATAGGGTCTTCCTGCCCACTGCCTGCTGCCTGCTGTCAGGGGCCTGTGGGTGCCTGTGGGGTCATGGAGTGTCCAGCAGTGGGCCAGCAGTGTTTGCCGGTGGTGGGGTTGCGACTGCCAAGGTCTGTACCCACCACTTGCTGCCCACCAGCTCTTTTTGTTCATCCGACTTAGCTGCCCTCGTGTGCACTGCATGCTAGTGTGTCTGTGAAGATCTTACTCCACGTGCCGCATTCTGGGTGAGTGGGAGCGCTGGCCAGTGTAGGAATGTGGGGGAAGAATAGAGGGTCGATGAGCATCTTTGGGGTGGCTTCCCCGGTGGCAGGGAATAGGTCTGGGAATGAAAGCATGAAGGCTCGGGCTTTCTTTGTCAAGGCTCGCTCGCGCTGCACCCTCCCTGCACCCTCCATCCATGCTCGGCGCTAGGAGGTCTTTGGGGCTTTCTGGGTTGGGAGGAGGGCTAAGGAGTCCACGCGCCTTCAACAAGTACTCAAAATGCTGGGCGCCTGCATCTGGACACACAGCTCCACAGCCGCTCTGTGAGCCCTAGACTTGAAGCAGGAATTTCAACGCACATGGCGAGATAAGGCCAGACAGAGGTTTCATTAGCCCACTGGATGCAAACCCAAGTTTCCAGCTCCCCAGTGCTCCTGGGTACACCTGTGGTCTCAGCTCTGCCTCTACTCCGACATTCCAGACAACTTTCTCAGAGCCCCCCCTCCCTCCACAGTACCTGGGCTGGGCTCTCCGCCACGCTGGGCATCCCACAGGCTCTGAGTGGGCCTCAGCCCTGCTCTGCGTCCTTGGCCTAGTGCACCAAATGGCCTGAGCTCCCCCACCTCCTGCACGCACACAGCTCCTTGATGCCCCTGGGCGTGACTGTGGACATGTCTTCACCAGTCTCCCCAGCCTGGAGCACTGCATCATCCCTTTCATGCCTTGGCCTCCCCCAAAGTGGGGTGGTTTTCATCCCTACTGCCAATGACCCTTTCCTGTAAGCCTGGGGCTCCCTCACTGCATCTCCCCACTCAGGAGTGTGCTCCCTGGCTGGCTCCCCGCAGGTGGGCGTATGCACGTGTTGTCTGCATCATGCACTCCCTGGCAGGCACACACACAGGCACCACACCGGGCATGCTCCCTCCTGTCTTCTCAAGCACGCTGGGGCCCCAGGAGACCACCCTGCTGGGCGCCTTCCTCTTGTCCTCACACGTCCCACAACCCCTGACTTGGGCCCAGCACGGAAGCCCTGTAAGAGGCTATCTTCTGAATGGTCCAGGATGGCAGCTGTGCCACTGCCCAGCTTTGTGAGGATGTGCCTCACCTCTCTGCCCCGGGGGGGGGGGACGATGATAATCTCCAAATGACCTTTTCCCCAACTATTTAAAAGGTGCCCACTGATTCTCAGGCACTGTCCTAGGCTCTGGGGAGATGGCAGTGGGTGTGACATAGAGTTCCCATCCTCACTAAACATCCATTCTAGGGAGGAGGCAGGAAATACAGAAACAAATAGAAAAAGGCGTTTCAGTTCTGCCAAGGGACGCTTAACAGGTACGATTCTCCATGGAGGAGAGAGTGGTGGGGAGGGGGGCACTGATGAGGCGGCTTAGATGCAGAATGCTGAGTGACAGAAGAGGCAGTCATCTGAAGTCCTAGGGAAAGAGTATTTTAGGCCAAGGGTACAGCTGGTGCAAAGGCCCTGAGGTGGGAGTGAGCTCAGGGAGCAGAAAGAAGGCCAGTGGGGCTGATGGGGGTAGGGGGAGGGGAGAAGACAGAGGCCCAGCTCAAGCAGGGCCTCTCCAGGCCCTGCTGGGCAGACCGGATTCTAATGAATGGGTGACAGAAGCTGCTGGAGGGTTAATAGTGAGGGAGGGATATGATGCAATTGTGTTTTCACAGCTCACTTCAGCTGCCATGGGGATATTGGGGGGAGGGAGGGTTGTCTCAGGAGCAGCTGGGACCCAGAAAATTCCTGGCTTGGCATTCAGCCCTGGCCCAGCCAGGGTTCCACTATCATCAGGGGCCTTATCTTGGTTGGTGCCAGAAAAGAGACTGCTGAGCTCAAGGTCACCCCAAGGGCAGTGAGAGCCTGCTGGGAGAGGAGGCAGGCTAGGCTCGGCAGAGAGGATGCAGAGAAGCTTGGCCAGGGTTGTCTGTTTTTGTGGCGTCTCCTCGGCCTCCTGGACCTGTCCCCTGCTTTTATCAGGGTAGCGGGGCGGGGGTCCTGCTTTGGGTAGCTTCTCCTGCTGGAAGATTTGAGCCCCTGTTCTCCTGGGAGGGTCTGGCTGAGGGCCTGGGAAACCCGGGGAGTGGGGGGGTGGGGGGGGCTGACTCTGCACCCCCAGGCCACCCAGGTGGAAAGGGAGGCTACTGCTGAGGCCTGGAGGCAGCATCTCTTTGTGTGACCCCAGGCAAAGCATTTCCTGCTTCTGTGCCTCAGTCTCTCCTCTTTTGCAAATGTGCTGATGAAAGAAAAGGGGGCCACAGCTGCCTTTCTTCCTGACCTCCGGGGGAGTTTGTTGGCTCTCGGCTCTCCCTGCACCCACAATCTGAAGTTTTCCTGCTAGCCCTGAGGAAGGGGAGCAGAGCCGCTGCTCCTGTTCCTCAGCTGGGGGCAGCACCAGGGCACGTGGTGGTTTGCAGTGAGGACTTGGGGCATTGTTTCACACCTGGGCCCTGACGCCCCCTCCATGTACCCCTCTACTGGGCTCAGCAAGAGAGGGGGTCCTGGCTTAGCTATTTCTGGGCTCAGCTGGCCTCGGCCCAGCAGGGACTCTGGGCCCCCCGCCCAGAGTGGAACTGAATGCTGCCCCTTGTCTGTCCCCAGAAGCCGAGGACCCGGCCCAGTGCCCAGTGCTGGCAGAACCTCCAGCTGCAGGAGGACCTGGCAGGCAGGTAGGGTTGGAGACAGCCGGGGCAGCTGCTGGAAGTTGTGGGTGTGGGTGACGAGCTCCAAGAGGCACTTGATCTGCCCACAGTCCTGGCCGTGAGGCCGGCAGAGTCTGAGCATCAGGTAAAGCCATTTATGCTCTCAAAAGCTCTCAGGCTTCACAGGCAGCACGCCCACCAGAGGCCCAGCTTCCGTGCTCGGGAGTGGGAGCTCCAGGCTCTGCAGTGGAGTGGGGTGAAGCCCTGCGCCTCAGGTCCAGTGCGTATCCAGGCCCCCGGCTAGAAAGCAGGCCAGGGGACTAGAACCTGGGCGGCGGTCCAGGGCCCCATCTCCCTCCGCCTTCCTTTCTGAATGCTCCCCCCACCCCCAAGGAGTCTTGGTTGAGGAGATGACCTCCTGTTCTCCCTCCTTTGAGGACACAACCAGAGGGAACGGATTGAAATAGCAACTACAGCAGCAGGGAATTGGGGCACACCAGAAAGAATCCCTCGCTCAGTGTCAAGCCTCTTGGGGTCCTTGCATCAGGGCCCAGATTCTAGAGCCTGGTTATACAGATGCCAAAATAATGTGCGGTGATTTTTGAAGAAAAATCTTACTGTCGTGAGGCGTTCAAAACTTTAGGAGGTGACACTCAGGGTCAGGGGGTGCTGTCTGTCCTGATCTCTTCCATGCCCTTTGCAAACCTAGGGCTCAGTTAATCCGAAGTGGTCCTGTGGTGGCGGGATCCCCCTCAGGTGTCCTGGACCCTCAGGGGAGTAGACTCACGTGAATTCCTCTCCAGATTCCTTTGCCCTAAGTGTGAAGTTCATCTTGGAGTCTGAGCGTCCCCCAAACTGGCTTTATTATGAAAATAATAGATCAGCACAGTCCTTCCTGTGTATTCTGGCTCAGGAGGTCCGGGGAGGCCTCAGTCTGGGTTTTAGCAGGCTCCTCAGGCGATCTTCCTGACCTGGCAGGCCCAGGCAGCGTGGGTCCCACTGAGATTCCTGGTGCTGCACCTCCTGCAGCTCCGAGGCCCCCAGCCCTCACCTCCTCTGGCCTCTTGTGAATCCGCAGCACCTGCTCTCCAGAGGAGCATGGAAGGGGGAGGAAGGATGTTTGTCTGAAGGAGCTGGTTGGTGTCTCGGGGTGGGGGGGGATCACTGCGGGGTGGTGGGGGTGGGGCTGAGTGGGGCCGGGGTGGAGAGGCGAGAGGAGAGCCACAATGAAGCCCATCAGTCTTCCATCTGGGATTAGGCTGGGCAGGGAATGAGGGTTCCTTAGCTCCATTAGATAGGGGTAGGGGTGAGAGTGGACATAGGGGTGAGTGTGGACATGGCAGGTAAAATAGGCCTCCAGGAAGACACCAAGAATGGGACAGAGGGGTGTGGCAGTGGGGAGATGCACCTGTACTCACAAGGTCGCACAGTGAGTTGGGCGGAGCAGGCCCTGACTCCCTTCTAGTGATCTCCTTAGAGCGCCTCTTGGCAGGCTCCTCATGTGACCCTCAAGAAGCTCAGGTGAGCCCTGGGCATCTGGGTGTGGAGTGAGCCCAGGGCCCCTGCTCAGTCTGCCTGAGCTTTGGGTTTTGGGTATCCTTGGTGAGGCTCCAGGGTGGTACCGCCCCTGCCAGCACCCTGGACAGCATCTCAGCTGGGCCTTGGGATGGCTGCCTGGGGCCTCACTTTGGCTGGTCTGGGGTGGCCTTTGCTGTGAAATCTTCCCTGCCTTCCCTTTTAATTTCCCTGAGTTCCCTCTGAATTTCCCCTCTAGAGGCAGCCCCAGCCCGGTTCCCTCCATTAAACACAAACTCACTGTTTCCAAGAACGTGGGGAGAGGCAAAGGGTCTGTCTGCCCTCAGCCTGGGGTTTTGTCTCCATCATTCACCAGCAGAGAGGAAGGGGACTTGGAGAGGATACTAGACCCTTCTCTAGTTCCTCCCAGCCTGGGCCTTCTTCCGTGGGCTTTGGTGAATTCTGGGGGCCACAAGACATGTAGAGGTAAGGGGTAGACAGATGGGGGTACATGGCGTAGCTGGGGTTCAGGGGAGAGGTGAGTGGGGCCACAGCCTGACCCAGACTCCACATGGAAGTTCCTGAAAGTATCTCAGCCATATTCCTGTTCCAAGGCTGCCCGGTGCTGTTCCACTGGGTTTAAGATCCCCCTGCCCCCCCCACCTCCTCGGCACCTGCCTAGTCTGACCTACCCCTCATTTCTTTATCTGCCACCAGAACCAGTGGTGCCCCATCCAACTTAGGGTGGATGCAGTGACTGCGATGGATGAGCATCAAGTCCCATCTGCACTGCCTGGGCAAAGCGATGCCACCTGGGACCCCAGCCTGGCATCTGTGGAGGAAACGGGGGTCCACCATGGAAAGGCGCCTGCTGAGGACCCGAGTACTAGCCACAGCAGCCTGGGCCATGAGACACAGAGCACCCTGGTGGACGCTAAGGAGCCCCCGAGGGGCCTGGATATGGCCCTGCATGGCCTCAGCCTTGGCCTCTCCCTCACCAATGGCCTACCGCTTGGGCCAGATTCAAGTCTTCTGGAAAATTCAGCAGAGTCCAGGCCCTGGAGGGCTGGAGGGCTGGCGGAGGTGGGCGATACCTCCAAGGGCCTCTGTCTAGACACTGAGGACGCTCAGCTGGGGTAAGTGGGTGCTTGGGGGTGAGGGTTCACCACCTTGCCGGCTGCAGTGCTGGGCCTTGCCACTTAATCTCTCTGGCTCTTATTTTCTCATCTTATAAAATGGGAATTTCATGTCCTGTTTTGCCCAGTTCCTGGATGTTTTGGAGAGATAGAGGGTTTTTTTTTTTTAAAAGATTTGTTTATTTATGCATACAGAACTGGGGTACAGACCAGAGGCGCAGGGCCAGTGAGAGGCTTCACCAGAGACAGAGTGGGGAGCAGAACAGGCAGATCGACTAAGTACACTGCTGAGGGGAGCAGTGGGCGGGTCAGGAGAGGTCTGTCACGCCATGGGGGCCTCCCCGCGGGCTGGTGACTGTCCTTGCCTCCTGCAGGCTGGGTGGCCCTGGAGAGCCGGATGTGCGAGACGGCTTCAGCGCCACGTTCGAGAAGATTGTGGAGTCGGAACTGCTGCAGGACACCCAGTACAGCAGCCTCGACTCCCTGGATGTGCTGAGCCTCACGGACGAGAGCGACAGCTGCGTCAGCTTTGAGGCCCCCCTCACGCCCCTCATTCAGCAGCGAGCCCGTGACAGCCCTGAGCCAGGTGCTGGGGACATGGGCCCCGAGGGGGACGCGGGAGCCACCGGAGGCGAGGGGGAGCTGGGCAGCCCCCTGCGGCGCTCCATCTCTAGCAGCCGCTCAGAGAACGTCCTGAGCCGCCTGTCTCTCGCATCCATGCCCAATGGCTTCCATGGCGACGGTCTCCGGGGCCCAGGTGGCGATGAGGAGGATGACGAGGAGGACACCGACAAGTTGCTGAACTCGGTCAGGTGAGGCAGGGCCCAGGCTGGGAGCTGGGAGAACCATTGACTAGACGGGGAAATGGGTGCTCAGAGGGGGCAGAGCAAGTTAGGGTGACCGCGTTTCAGAGGCAACAGCCCGCTCCAGGGTCACTGTGACCGTCCCCTGCAGGCAGATGCCCCGGTGCCCAGCAGGGGTGGGGCGGGGGGGCTGTGCTGTGGGCTCGGGTAGCGTAAGGTCTCTCTAGAGGGGCTCGTCTCCAAGTCTGACTGGGCCCCTCCCAGCAAGGGGGAGCTTTTGTCCCTACACTGGCCCCTGCGTGGGCTTTAGAACCTGCGGAGACCTGCCAGCCCCGCCCAGGGCCCCTGAGAACTCCCCTCTACCGCTACCTTCTTCTGCAGTGACCCCAGCCTGAAGGACGGCCTGCTGGACTCCGACTCGGAGCTGAGCAGCTCGGAGGGGCTGGAGCCTGGCGGCACAGACCCGCTGGCCAATGGCTGCCAGGGGGTCAGTGAAGCTGCCCGCCGGCTGGCCCGCCGCCTCTACCACCTTGAAGGTTTCCAGCGCTGTGATGTCGCCCGGCAGCTGGGCAAGAAGTGAGTTGGGTCCCCTGCACCACTCCCGCGGGCGACCAAGTGCCCTCCGGTGCCTACTCTGGGGCTCCCAGTAGTCCCCAGGGACCCCTCCTCCTTCTGCCTTTGTCCTCATTCCTGTCTTGGCCTAAATGTCTCCTTCTTGGGGTGCTTGGGTGAGAACCTGAGCTCTCAGGGTGGAGGCGTGGTGCTGGGGTGGCTCCTCGGTGCTGGGGTGTGCCATGCAACTATGGGGTGTGCATGTGGTTATGGGACACAGTGGTCAGACGGGGGGAGTGGCCTTCCCAGTGGGTTCAAGGTCTGGGCTGAGCGTGCATGGGACCCAGGAGCTAGGGAAGGGGTTTCTTGCTCTCTCCCACCATCTCCTGGGATCAGCTTGAGCCCTGGACTTGGGACTGGGGGCAAGGGTACTGACCATCCGGGGGCCCTAGGGGCTTGTGGGTTGGGGACCGGAGGGGACCAAGGCAGAGGAGGTCGGCCCGCAGGTCTGCACACCGCCTCCAGGCCATGCCTCCCGAGAGCCCCACCCAGTGAGCTGAAGCAGGCCTGCCTCCCTCCAGAGAGCTGCGCACACAGTTATGGGAGACGGAGACGTTCAGATCCTAGGCCCTAAGTTGGAACTGGCTGGGGATTAAGGCCACAGGGAAAAGCTGAGGGCGGCTGTGATCCAGGCCCTCCTCCCTCCCCCCTCCCTCCCAGTCTGCCCTCCACCTTCCTGGCCTCTGCTCTCCTCCTGCCCCACACCCAGACCCCCATCAAGCCTCAGCTATCCCCACCTCTGCTGTTGGGTTGTAACCCCGAACCTAATGACAGCGTCTGGAGCCTTCACTACTTCACTACGCCCGCCCGGGCCCCACCTTCCCTTCTCCTCCACCTCTCTGTCTGCAAGAGCTCTCCCTTGTGCAGACGCCATTTGAGAAACAAAAAACCTTTCTCAACTGCACTTACTTCCCCAGGCCCTTCAAACCCAAATTCTCGGTTTTCTGACTGAGCGCCTTTGTCCTGTCCCCTCTGTCCATGTTCAGTCCCCTGGGGGGCCCCATGGCTGCAGGCTGGTTGCTGCTGCTCAGGCCCTGCTCGCCCCCTCAGCGGTGGTGACCCCCAGCCTCTCCTTTCTGTTTCCAAAATATTAGCCTTTATCTATGTACTACTCACCGTCAGAGTTAGCACCGTTTTTTGAGTTTTGTTTTGGCTACTCTGTCCTCCTTGCCACAAGTTTTTTTTTACTTTTTCCCACTTGCTGGCTTATTGTTTGTTTGTTTTTAAGATTTACTTATTTGCGCACACAAAACTGGAGGACAGGCCAGAGGTGAGGGGCGGTGAGGGGATTCACCAGAGACAGAGTGGGGAGCAGAACAGGCAGATGGACGCTGCTGA